GATTATGAAAAGAAATCAAAGAGAGATAATCAATCAGGTTTAGAGCTATACGATGTAAAGATTGAATGAGTTTATATATGTGCGTTTTTAAAGATATTTTGTCTATTAATTATAAAATATTTATTATAGAAATATATGATGTCGATGAGTACAGTTGGTTCTGAAATTAATCGTGCGAAAACAGAATACACAAACGAAGTAATAAAGCGTGAAAGAAAGACTCATTCAGTTGTATCACAAATAGTTTGTCGTATTACGGAAGGTTGTTTTGCTTCATTCAATGATTCGTTAAAAAAATGTGGACCAGGTATTACGAAAATGAAAGAGTGGGCACCATTTGCAGGTGAGGGTATGCCACCACCTCAAAGCCTAGATGACTTTCTAGAAGATCAGGTAATTTCATGTGGTTTAAAAATTTTAGTTACTGTTATGCACTTTAACATTTTTACTATCTAACACTGTTGTTTAGGTATCATATCCAAAATATGCGTCGTCAGAGAAAGTTTTTGAATCTTTTGCATCAATATCAGAGAAACAGATAGCAGCAATGAACTGTCCATCTTCAGAATCCACGTTACCTGAACCTTCTTTACCTATTATTGATGATGATCCGGATAGTAATATTCCCACAAGATATGTACAGATGCCGTCAAAAATTTCACGTGCCAACACTCCAGAAACACCAAAACCAATACCAGTCAAATTATCAGTCAAACCTTCAACGTTTTCTCCAGAAACTATATCACCTTTAAGTAGACAAACTAATCAAAAATATAATAATGTAAATAGCTCAAGTTCATCATCATCAACGATCAGTAGTATACCTTCACAACCACCTAGCAATAAATCTTCTATCTCAAATTCGATCTCAAGGCTCTCTATCGGTGTTCATCCTAATGATAGTCCGTTTTTACGTGATGAAAAAGTTGTTGAAGTTGAAGCAATTGATTTATTTACAGAAAACAGAGTTGAAAAGGCAACATTTAAACCGAACATAATTAAAGCAAAGACAGAATAGAGATGGAAATCCACCACCAAAATCAGATACATACGTACAGTGCGTACGTAATCGCTGATATAAGTTCGAATATTATTTTGATTAGCATGAAATTTACAAAGTCATGATTCAAAGAAAAATATTTCATGACCTTTTTTCTTTTTTTTATTCGAATTATTCAAATTTATTTAGTTATTGTAAATACTGAATCTGATTCGATTTTTTTAAACATAAGATATAATTTGTATTCAATATCCAGTTCAAATCATTAGCATTAATATAATTTTTTACCTAAATAAAGTTATTCCTCATTATGTATATGTGGTTTTATGAATTTATTAAATTGGTTATTTTATTAACTCGTGTATTATTAGTTAGGCTTTAAATTTAATATTTCTTTGACCTTCACAATAAAAAATGGTTGCTTTGCTATATTTAATCCGTATAAGCGAAATAACGCTCGTGGACGTTATTTTGAAATTTGGTTCTCAAATAACTTATATGGCCTCATGGGCGTTCCGAATTAACGCGCATCCTAATGTTAAATGATACATATTCAGTCGTCACTCCATATGCGCATATTGGTTTTCCGATATATATACTAATTATATCAGGTACGTATAAAAAACCAGTATACGTATAATACGTGTAAAAATGGATTTTAACAAATTTAAAAAGGGTATGTAGATTATTTCTATTAATAAACAAATGACCAAAAATATTTTTGCTGCGGATTAAAAAGTTGCTACGTACTGTACATATAATTTTTTATTATGTAAATCAAATATTAGTATATATGGGGGTGAATCAATAGAAATCAAGCAAATTTTTTATAGTAAAATTTTTTATAACTTTAAGCAAAAATAACTTAACAAAAACGTAACCAAATTTAATAAATTTTTTTTTAATTTTTATAAACTTGTAGAATTAGTTTAAAAAAAATTTATTAAATTTGATCAAGTTTTTATTAAATTATTCTTGTTTAAAGTTTTAAAAAAACTTATTAAAAAATATTTGCTTGATTTCTATTGACGCAACCCCATATATTAAGAAAATTGTTTATAATAAAAAATTAGAGTTTTACTACAAATAACCGGTGGTGATTTGTTACTGCACATAGATATTAGGGTTTGGCATATTATAATTAATTAAAACTATAGTCATCCCTCTCTACAGTCACCCCCTCTATAATCACATCATATAAAAACCCCTCTTTATCACCTTCTATACTCAAAAACAAATTACTATTAAATATATAAAAAACCACCTCTATATAAGCACAACCTCTTTATAAGTACATTTTTTAAAAAAGTTATTAAGTAAACAAAATATATAATTATAGAGGAGGTTGACTATATATGAGGTGTTGTCTATTAAAAGAGCCCATTTTTACAAATTTTTAAAAAATGAGTTTTTATTAAATTCATGTAAATTTTGATATAACTAACATTTTTAATTATAAATGAAAGTTGATTTGTATAATGAAAAATCAAGATAATGTAAAAAGAAAAATTACACAAAGCTGCCTAAGGCCAAGCACATCATAAGATTATCTAATAGTTGCCTGTTAACTTTAACCAATCAAAATTGTAAAATTTGTTTGATTTCAGATTAGTCCAAAAATCAAAACAAACAATTAAACTCAATTATCTCAAAATGAATTATATATAAAAATAGGCTTTTTTAATTAACAACATATTATATATAATTGGTCAATAAATTTATATTGATAAATTTTTGCAAAATATAGATCAATTTTGTATTTTACTATATAAAATCATATAAAAAACTTGCATTTTTTTTATCTATGCAAATTGGAATTTTTAATATAAAAATTTCTTTTGTAATTTTGTTCTTATTAAATTATTGTAATAAATAAAAAAAGATCAAGTTATAAATAATAGATTAATAAATTTATATATCTAATTTTATACATATTACTAAATATAATTAATTATTTTAATATATTTATTATTATAACAAAATGAGTGTTTATAAACCAAAGTTAAATCTTTTATTTAAACAAAAATTTTAATTAAAGTTTACAAAGAAATATTGATATACAATAAAATTATTTAGTATCTAAAAAATATAAATTATTTTTAGTTAAAGCAAGTTCTTAACTATATTCTTAAAGAACTAAATACAGTTGTCCTTCTATACAATCACAGAGTTGGGCATATAGTAAATTTTTTTAAAAATATGCTTTTAAAGAGGTTGTATTTATATGAAGATTTTTTTCTTATAAATTAAATTAAAGTTTGGTTTAAATAAAAATATAATTATATATAATGTAATTGTATAGGAGGTGACTATATGAAGAGTTAACTATATTAATAAAGTTAATAAAAATGAGTAGAACTTATATCTACTATTTAACAATTATCTAATTAACAAGTTTATATAGCTACTAAGCTATTTGAAAATATGTACTATTCTAAAAGTTTTAATAAAGAAAATATTTTATTATTAAATTTTCAAAAAAAAAGCCAAAATATATATAGTCAAACCTCTCTATAGTTATACCTAAAGATATGCGAATACAAGTTTTTTGGCTTTGCATTACATAATGCAATATTATGTCGCATGATACATTATGCAATTCTGTATAATATACTGTGAACTTCTCAAAACTTTTTATAGTAAATAGACTTTGTGATATTACTAAGAGGTTATCAGATTTGAAAATATAAACTATTAGTTTTATATAGTAGAAACAGATCTGATAGATTAATTTTTTATTGAATTTCACAGGGTATTGATTTTAATAGAAACAAGTGCATATAAAGTGATTGTTGATGAAATAACATAAATTAAAATTACATAATAACTTCAATGTATATTTTTAAATCTTAGGCAACTTGCATTGCATTATACAGCATTACTTGCATAATGTATATAGCACATCTCTAGTCACATCCACAAAATACAAAAAAGTATGATTATAGAGAAGTGTGCTAATTATAGAGGTCAAATTTATTATATTTAATAATAGATAGTTTTTTAAAAAATAAACTTATAAAGAAAATATGCTTATATAGAAGATGACTATAGAGAGGTTTGACTATATTAATTAAAGTTTATATAAAACTGGTTAATTGTTTAATTTACTAATTAAAACCAATAATAATTTGTCTTTAAAAAATATTTATTTGAAAAAAACTATTATATATTTTCAAAAATCAAAAAAAAATCTACTTACAAACTTTGAAGTTTAAATAAAAAGATTTTTTATTTAAAAAAAAATTAGCAAAATCAAATTGCTCAAATTTGTGCAAATGCATGATAACTATTATTAACAGATTTTTAAAACTTTAAAGCAATAATTAATTTTTTTATAATAGCAAATAAAAAAGAATATACTCTAGACTTTTTTTTTTTTTTTAAAAAAAAAAGATCTTTTCTTGATTTCAAAATATATAATTAAATACAACTTGTATAAATTTATATATTTAATGAAAGAGAGTAAAAGTTAGAGCTAGAATTTACTCTTGATCTATTCTTAGCTAGAATGGTTAAAAAACCTTTAAACTATGTAATTAAGAAGTGAGGATATAAAATTATAATAAATGAATTTGTTAAACCATATAATAAATTGTCTATTTAATAAGCTAAGAGAAGTATTAGTTTCTAAAGAAATAATAATAACTAAAAGATTATGAGTAGATTGTTGTATATATATTCAACTTGGTTTTTATATTTTTTTGTATATACTTTTAGTGATTATGTAATATATTTGTAAAATTACAGTATTATTTTAAGAGAGTAATTCTAGTTTTGCAGGTATAGTTGAGTTAATAAATCTGATGAGTATTTGTTTTTTAATATGAGTTGTAATAAAATCTTATATAAAATCATGAGTTGGTGGTATATTTGTTTTGTTTGTTTGGCACACTTTGGTTATTGCTTTATATATAATTTCTTCAATGTTTATTAAATTATATAAATAGATAAGCATATAAACCATATCTTTGAATATTTGAGGATATTTTGTACAAAATGAATTGGGATATATTGATGAGTTTCTGTGATACAAATGTAAATGAGTTGGCAATTCAGAAGTTAATAGTTTTACTTTGAAAGTTTTCAAAGTTAATTTGGTAGAGCAGGTGTTTCTACTAAGTAGATTATTCTAATAGTTTAAATAGTTAAAAATTAATTTCCAGTTGATATTTGAAAGTTGTTATATTATTAATTTAATTTGATTTTGCTTATTCTATTTGATAGTAGCTTTTACTTTTTGAATAATTTTAGGTAATAGTGTATAGAATAGATTATAAAAATACTATTGATGTAGTGAGTAAAGTTAGAATTTAATACTGCTTATATTAAGAGATTAGTGTGTAATTAGAGGTTTGGTATTAGAACCTTGATTTTTTTTTCAGATAAATTTATGTCAATAGTGTAATCCTTGGCTAAAATAATTGCTCTTATTGTTAATATAATATTATTAAATAGGATTTTGCAAAGATATTATTGATAGTATAATAGAAAATTAAGCATAGATTGAATTTTTGATTGAAGCCTTTATTAGTAATAATATTTGTTTTGGTTTGGGAGAGAAAATAGTATAAATTATTGCTAGTGTTGTGAATATTGTATAGATATAAGATGGAAAAGATTTGTTTGTAATATGCCAAGTTTGCTAATTGTGTTGAAATTGAATTTGTAAAAAAGAAGTTTTTATTTTGTTAGCCATATTTATCTTTTTTGATTTGGCTATAATATGTAGTAGGATAACTAGAGTCAGTGTATAATATCCAAATTTGAGTTTTGATATCATCAAATAATTATAGAAAGTGGTATGTAGTTTGGTAGTCTATTCATCTAGCTTAAATCAGGGCTTTATTATCTATCTTGAATTATTATCTTTTTTTAAATATAATGTAGTAAACATATTATATATATTATTTTTATCTAGCTTTACTTGTTTTTTAAATTTTTGTATCATATTACTTAAATATTTTTTATTTATTACTTTATGTGAAAATGATGCAATTAGTAAATTATATTGAGTTACT